GTCAACAGAAATTCTCCATCAAGCAGCAGTTAAAAGTACCAGAAACAAGAGCAAAAACTTGTTCCCTAACAATTAAGTGTTGCAATATATCACAATCACTGGAGAGACTATCAATAAAATAAAGGGTTTATGGCAATAAATGCCATTTTATAGCTATTTTATGGCCCCTATTCTGGAAGGTACTTAAGCATATGCTGGGACTACTCACGTGCTTAAAGTTAGGCATGTGCTTAAATACTTTCCTTGAGTAGTGGCCATTATGGGGAGTTCCATATGACAAAGCAGTGTATGTGCTCATAAAGATTGTGGGTGCTGAAGCATTACAGTCACAAACTTTGTCTTAACAGCCGTGGGCCGTTTTGAGTGTTAACTCTCAACGGCTCCCTTGATACGAATTGAAATTACTGCTTGAGTTCTGATTGAGCTGATTGCAAAATTTTAAAGTACAAAGGATAACGGAATGGGTGCCAGGGTCCGTGTGCCAAATGAACATTTTATTTGTGCCCAAGCAGCTGCTGAAACACCACTGAAATTTAAAACAAGCTGTTTGTACATTTTACTGACAGCTGTTTTCCATGATTTTTGTCAACCAAATTTTGCTGCTTTGCATCACAGAATTCTTTTATTATGAAGTTCCCCCCCCAAAGAATAACTTGCTTGCTTTAATCACATTTGCTCAGAGATTTATGACTTGATGAGTATTCACTGGGAGAGTTTCTCGACATGAAATGTCAGTGAGCCTGTTATAAATTGCTTCTGGCATTCCTACTCTATCTTTGATTTGGCTGGGAGTATTTCTACCTGAAAGTGATAAATTCCTGCTATAACTGCTTTATGTGCTTCAGTAATTACACTGTGCAGAAAAGGGGGAGGGAGGGGCTTCTACAGAGATATCCTTTAAAAATAGCAAGCAGTAAAAAGCGGTGGAATGGGTTGAACTCTGAAGTGTTAGTGAACAAAAAACAATGACCAGTGAAATATCTGTGTCAGATTGAATTTGATAAATGAGCAGGAAATAGAAGAGATACAGAAACCTTTAAGGCCACTGTGGGAACATCTTAATATTGCCGTGTTCTGAGGATGAACATTTTTGATTGGTTATATACACAGCAACTGAAAGACCACTGGCTTTGGCTTGCTACCTTCACTCAATCTCTGTCCACAACCTTTCATGCTTGACTGCGTCTGCCAAGAGTCTTCCAGGCTGGAGAATGGTACCAGTTTAATGATTATAGCAGAACCCAATCATACCATCATTACAGTATTTAATGTGTTGGCATTTCCATTATGAACTCCACATTTTAAAGCTTTCCTCAGATAGCTAGGTAACAAACCTTTGTCGTGGGCAAAGCAAGTGCAGTCCCACAGGGTGGAATTTCATCATTGTGCTGTTAGGTCCCCACAAAATCTTGGCATAGTCCTACTGAGGAAGATTTCAAACTCATCTCTCTGATTTGCCATCTTGTTTTGGTTTCCTTTTCAGTGTCTGTATAATATGTGTACTATATATGCGTTGCATTGCCCTGCAGTGGCTAGTTTACACACAGGGTACCAACCGACTACTACAGCTCCCAGCCAATGAGGTCACCCGTTAGCTTAAATGGCAGTCTGTGTTTTGGTAATAGAAGTCCAAGGTTATAACCAGTTATGAGGGTTGTTCCATAAGGAGAAAACATGAGAAATTGGGTCCTCGTGGAGCTTCCGCTTCTAATTCTTGTACAGCGCTTGCTGATTCTCTATGCAAAAGTAATGGGGCAATACCATGATAAGACTTGCTTTCATTGCTATTAGTATTTCCTGACATCATAGTAGCTGTACTATGCAGTTCAAAAGGAGAGAAATGTTGAGGCTAAATTCAGCTGCCTAGTGATACTCAATATGCCTTCAGATAATTGAAAACATATTCAGTATCCCAATAAGAAAGGGTTGCCGTGATATCTTCAATTAGAAGGACGGGGTCAAGAAAATAAATAGAGAGGGCTCAGTTTTCATTTTTCATAAGATTTTGTACATTGACATGTATAATGAAATATCCCCTAATATGCACGTAAAATCTAATTAAAGTGTCCCGCAGAACAGAGTATGTGGCCATGTAGATCCATTTATCAGATTAAACATTTGCCTACAGAGAGCACTGAGTATTCTAAGTGAGAGAATTATTGAGGTTTGAAATAGGTTTGCACAGATAGCTGTACGTATCCTTATCAAAGCAAGAGGCAAGTGAATTACAAAATGGCATTACTCAGCAAAGGATTTATCTTTTCTATTTCCCTTAGCTGAGACTAAAAATTCCTCCCGCCTCCCATCTATTCTACCTTAGAACAAGAAGTTAAAAACTGCTACATCGCTTGCAGATTGACGAGGTACTGGCATGGAATTGGACAAATTTGCAACATTTCAAATAGGAGGAGGAATGGATTGGGCCAGATCCATAACTGATATAAAAAGTAGCTTCATTGCTTGCAATGGAGTGGTGCCAATATAAACCAGCTGAGGACTTGGCTGCAAGTGATCAATGGGCCAAATGAAATATACAACCAAGGTTAATCACAATCGAGACAGAACTGCAGAAAATTAACTGTGTACTCCTTTTCTCTCTCTCTTTTGACAGCTGAGTGTGGCTTCTCATGTGCTATTGCCCTTGATCCATCTGACTGTATGTTTTTCCAGCTTAAAAAGACATTGCCAAATGGTTTAGGCTCACAATTTGAATGGCTTTATAAGAACACTCCCAAAGGCTACACATTTGACAAACATTTTGTTTTCTAATATGCTAGAAAAGACCATCTGATTGTATAAGATATTTAATTACTACAATATAGCTATGTTAGAAAAATAACTTTCTACCAAGCATTGTGCTTGCTACTGTGAGTAGTTCCATTAAGGGCACCTGACTTGATTATACTCTCTACATAACTTGGTGGAATTCAATTATTATTATTATTATTTTATAATTCCAATGGATAATATTGCTATGTATTTTTTATGCATTTTAAATATTTTTTCATCCATTTAAATTTTCACAGTTTTGCAAATGTACGGGCTTCAACATGTTTTATGGTTTTTATCTATTTACATTTTCACAGTTGCAGGAAATTAAGGTGAGTGTCAGGCAATAGGGGGTTCAGACAAGTAGTTAATGACAGACGCTGAGATTCAAAAAATTAAAGCTTTTTAACTGTTAAAACAGATTGTTAAGATCACATCAAAATATACAAATACCCTTAAACTCTAGTAAGTTCTCAAGCAGCATTTTTCTTACTGTGCCTATGGGTAAATTTCAATTTCAATGGAAATATTTTTTTCATCAGTTTGTGTGTGTATGGCGAAATCAACAGTTACCAATCAATATCGAATCCTTCCAAGCCTATCTATCCAGAACTGAACTTGATGTGGAACAGAATCAGAACTGTTGCCTTTAAAAGGAGTAGAAAACTTACCACTAGAGACAATGCTTAGCAACAACTCACCACGAGAAACAATGCTTATTAGCAAAAATCGTTCCTTGAGACTGTAATTCTTGGTCCTCTCCGGGCAACAGTTAATATTGCCCATCTGGATGAAATGTAATGGAGCCCTCTTTGCGGCTTTCCTTGTATGTTTTTTGCTCTCTTGTCTTCAAAATAAAGGCTTCAATGATGTTTTTCCTCAAATTAATTAGTTTTATTTTACTTTTTAAATGACCACCATTTGAGAGATGAAAGGGAATGGGAAATACAGAGACATGGGAAGGTCTTAATATTTTAATGTATAAAACACTGAACAAATAGCCTAAAGAAATCCATAAAAAAATAGTTCTGTTTTCTTAAGGAAACATACAAACTTGTTCCTGTGGCGAATCAGTTTCCAGCAACTCTGCAAAAACAAATAGAGTGCCTGATCCTGCAAACACCACCGTGTGAAATCAGTCCCATTGATTTCAACTGCACTGAAATCAATGGAACTACTCTCAGTAGGAAGTACTATGCTAGGTACTATCTCTTTGCAGTACTGAGCTGAAAATGCATAGACCATTGCACTGTACATTTGAGTACACTAGTAATATTGCTATTTCTTGCATGCAAAATGCCAGCCCTGCCTCATGTATATTGCTGTACCCTGGGCTGCAATTCTTTAACTGAGTAAATTGTGTAGTTTTGAAGCTGTAGGCAGTGACTTTTTTTCAGATGCTGCGACACTTGCAGTTGGTTTAAATGGCCCAATCCTGCAAACATTTATTAAAATGTGCAGTGCTTGCCAAATGGACTGGTTGGACTAATGTTGCTGGGAGATCATGTTCTTAGATTTGCAGTTAGAGAGCTCCCATATGCAGAAAAGGCTGGCACCATCCCTCCTTTCTTTGAACCTAGTGGAGTCGATGGGGCTGGAGATCTTCACAAGTGATGGGGCCTGGATGAGGAGCGGGGCAGCCAGAGGGGGGGTTAGGGAGTTGTGGGCTGTACATTGCTCCCTTCCCAGCAGAGATCGCAAAGGAAATCGTGTCACTTTTCCCATTGAGTTCCCACAGGGCAGGGATGACCTATAATGATGGACCCACAGCAGCTCTGGTCAGCTCTGCCGCCAGGGCTATGGAGCTGTGCGGAGAGCCTTGGCCCAGCTGCTCCTGGCCGCCAACCGAGCCCCAAGGCTTCTGTGGTGTGTGGCCCCGCAATGCTGATGGCCACAACAGTGGAGAGAAAGTCTCTCATCACACAGGGAATGGGGGAGAATGGGGGTGTCTCGGCTCTGCTCCCCCAGAGCGAGGGGAGTGGAGGAGAGAGTCTGGGCTCTGACCCCCCGCGAGGGGATTGGAGGGGGGTGTCTGGGCCCCTCCCCTGGGGCAGAGGGAGGGAGGGGCTGGAGTCTAGGCCCCGCCCCCCGGGAAAGAGGGTGGGAGGGGCTGGAGTCTAGGCCCCGCCCCCAAAGAAAGAGGGATCCAACCGGGCAGTCGCCCTCCTGGCGACTCCGCCCGGCCGTTTCCCGTCCCTCCGGCAGCGGCTCTGCCTCTGGGGCGGGGCTTCGGGCGCCCCGCAACCCGTGCGCGCGCCCGGCTACGCCCCCTGGGCCGACCCGCGCATGCGCCGTGCTTCTGGCGGGAGCCGGCGGTTGGTTTGAGCGGCGGCCTGCCCCGTAGCAGCGGGAAGATGTGGGCTGCGCTGCGGGCTCGCTCCGGGAACCAGCCGGCACAGGCAGGCAGGGCTGTTCCCGCCCCGCTCGGCATGGAACTGCCCGCCGGCTGCTGGGACAGCACCCGGGCCGCCCTGCGGCAGCTGGAGGGGCGGCTGCGCTGCTCCCGCTGGTAACCGCGCCTGCCCCGGGGCCCGGGCTGGGGAGTCACCGCGATCCTGGGAGAGACTGACTCGCCCTTCCCGGGGACAGATCCCTCCGCCCCTAG